TAGCAGAACTCCAAATTCGTCCATAGAGTACAAAACTCCTTTAAATATAATATCCCCTAAAAAGAAAAGCCATTTAGTAAAGATCAGACGCTTCGGATGCATAGCTTATGCAAAGAAACCATTATCTGAAATCAAATTATCGGAAAAAGCCATAAAGGGAATCTTAGTAGGACAAACCAGCAATGAATATATACTATGGCACCCTCAATCCGGAAAATTAATTCTAATTAAACACGTAAAATTTAGAGAAAAGCTAACTTACGAAAACATTGATAAAAATGACGAAATAACAAAAGAATATAATAAATATTCGAGTTCTACTTCCGAAGAATACCAGAATGATACACTAGAGACAACTATAGATGTATTCGATACAGATAGTTCTGAAAAACCAGATAAATTAACTAAATTAGAGCCTACAGAAAACAATACAAAGAAAATTAAAATTAGTAAAAGAAAATCAGAAAATAATAAAGAAACAGAGAACCAATCTAGAGTATAACCTAAGCGCGTTAGTAAAATAAAACGAGATTATAAAGCGATGGCTGAAGGAAAGGCTAACTTGGTAGATAACAGTTTCGCGTTCTTGACCCGATGTAACGAAATTGAAGTTTTGGGAGAAGATGAAAAAGGTTTTTGTTTAATGGCTACCCTAAACTCTGACCCAACCAATTATAGAGAAGCTATGGAAACTGAAGATAAAATGAGCTGGACTAAAGCAATAAACGATGAATTAGAGTCCATGCACGAAAACAACGTATGGAGTATAGTAGATAGACCTACGGTAACTCAGAGGCAATAAAGACAACATAATAGATAGCAGGTGGGTACTCAAAAGAAAAATTGATTCAGATAGAAAAATAACCTTCAAAGCTAGATTAGTAGTTAGAGGATTTAAAGATACTAATGAGTACGAACTTAGAGAAACTTATGCACCTGTATCTAGACTTTCTATAATCAGAGCTGCATTTGCTATAATCAATAAATTAGATCTTGAAGTCTGTCAGTTGGATGTGAAAACTGCATTCCTAAACGGCGAACTAGAGAAAGAAATATACAGGGTGGTGAAAAAGTATGGAAACACCTGAAAATCTCAGAGGGTTGGTCATAAAAATAAAATTCTTAAGGTCAGGTCCTTTATAACTTTCAACGAAGAATCCAGTGATGACCTTGAATTTGACCTTGGACCTTACCTTCAAGGTCATTTCAAGGTCAACCTCATTTTTTCAAATGAGAACCCCTATTTTTGATGCCGGAATCAAAATGAGCAGGAAATTTTACGTCCGGATACGTGGTTAGGTATGAGGTTAAAGTAACCTCTGGAGGTCAAATAGAGGTCAATGTCGGAAAAAGTATGGAAACCCCTGAAAATCTGAGCGTTGGTCGTAAAAATAAAATTGTTAACGTCAGGTCTTATGTAACTTTCAACGATGAATCCAGTGATGACCTTGAATTTGACCTTGGACCTCACCTTCAAGGTCATTTCAAGGTCAAATTTCTTTTGTTAAATGGGAACCCACACTTTTGACATCGGCAATTGAAAGAGAGTCAAATTTTACGTTAAAATATGCCTTGAGGTCCAAGGTCGACGTGACCTCTGGAGGTCAAATAAAGATTAACAGTATATTTATATCGAAACTCCAAAAATGTGTCTATTTTGATTATTAAACAAGAAAACTAGTTTCTCAATCCAGAATCCTTCTTTTAGCGCTATCCAGGAACAACGACGTGGACGTAGAAGGATTCTGTTCCCTTTGGGGTACTGGATTATCGTGAGTTCCCCTTGCCTCTCACGTCGGGGTGCTGGATTATCGTGAGTTGCCCTTGCCTCTCACGTCGGGGTGCTGGATTATCGTGAGTTCCCCTTGCCTCTCACTTAGGGCGTATTTATGAATTATTATAGTAGATGAGTAAATTTATAACAGATGCTCAAATTGTTCTCCATTTGTTTCTTGACAGTAACCAATCCTGATGTAAAATGACTGAACTGCATGTCGAATCATATCTCTTGTAATGAGAGCAGTTTCCTCAATAATTCTACGTCTTAATTCATCAAGATTTTCTGGATTTGTTCTGTAAACGCGATCTTTTAAATAACCCCATAAGAAAAAATCCAATGGTGTTAAGTCTGGAGATCTTGGAGGCCACTCTATGCTACCTCGTCTACCTATCCATCTTTCGAAGAATGTTTCATTCAAAAATTCTCTAACATTAACTGCAAAATATGATGCTGCACCGTCTTGCTGGAACCATGTGTTTTCGAAATCGTCTCCTTTTACAGCTTGTATTGCTGGAACAATTTGGTTTCGCAATAGCTGTTCATAATTTTGTGCATTTAAATTTCCTTCGATAAAAAAGGGACCTATTATTGTGTCGTCTACAATTCCTGCCCACACATTTAGTTTTTGAGGATATTGAGTGTGAGTTGCGTCCATCCAGTGAGGATTTGTATCAGACCAATATCGAAAGTTATGTCGATTGACATTACCGTTTAACTGAAACGTTGCTTCATCTGAAAAGACAATATTTCCTAAAAATTGTGGATTGTCAGTTATCATTTCCATCATCGTCTCACAAAATTCAGTGCGACGATCAGGATCATCTTCATTTAATTCTTGCACGAGTTTAATTTTGAAGGGATGCAATTTGTTTCTGTTCAAAATTTGAAGAACAGATGTGTGATGGATGTCGTGTTGTAAAGCTGCAGATCGAAGAGTCTCATGAGGATTTTCTACAAAAGACTGTAAAACATGTAAAGATTTTTCTTCGTTTGTTGCTGTCGATGGTTTACCAGCAACAGGACGATTTCGAACAGATCCCGTGTCATCAAAACGTCTTATTGTTTTTGAAACAGTTCCTCTTGATATAGGAGTACCATCGTTTCGAAATGTTGCATAAAACAGATTAGTTACCTGTGTATATGACCTATGCATATCACCCCAACCTCTCATCATCAAAAGTGATATCCGTTCTCTTTCGGACAATCGAAACATTTTGGTTTCAAAATGACTTCTTCGTACAAAACTAATTTACAACAAAAATATTTGGTGATTTTGTCAAATTTTATCTCTTGCAACTACAGAGTGTTATTTATGCAGTAATACCAAAAATGTATTCGTCAAGCGAATTGAAATAAAAATTCATTCATTCATAAATTTATTTTCTATCTAAAGAAAACCTTTTTTTAACAATATCATTTATGTAACTACGCGGACATGAAAAAGCCACACATAATATTGAATTTTCGACTATTAATGAGACAGCTATTTTGTTAAAGATACATTTCGTCAGTTTGGCGGAATAATCGGACAAGTTGAGTTTTTATTTGTAAAAGCGGACACGTCGCATTTTCATTTGAAAATGTGGATACGTTGGCTTTCTTTCTTTTCTTTCTTTCTTGTAGAAGCGGGCGAAACGAAAATAATTTTTTCTTGTCTAATTTAAACTTAGCAATACTTTTTTAATGTAACGGTTTGAATGGTAAATGAATGTTAATGAAAATAGAAACGAATTTTTGCGGGATCCAACTTCGTTTTCGCTATTTGTTTGAAAGACTACGATTTAGAAATTTTTTGCAAATTAAACGTTTTACCAAATTTATGCAAATGAATCATTTTAGAAAATTTTCGTAAATGAATCGTTTTTGCAAATTTCTGCAAGTGAATCGTTTTTGCAAATTATTACAAACTACATATCTGATTTTCTAAATTATTTTCTTATTTTAGCCAACTTATTCAGTAATTTTGAAAATCGCCGTGTTTCCGTGTAGCCGTGTATCCCGATTCAGGTTCAGGGTAGCGTGATCAAGATCAGTGATACTAAAACCTATTCAACAAAGCACCCCAAGTGAAAGGCAAGCGGAACTTACTCTAAAAAAGCCCCCCAAAGGGAACAGAATCCTTCTACGTCCACGTCGTTGTTCCTGGATAGCGCTAAAAGAAGGATTCTGGATTGAGAAACTAGTTTTCTTGTTTAATAATCAAAATAGACACATTTTTGGAGTTTCGATATAAATATACTGTTAATCTTTATTTGACCTCCAGAGGTCACGTCGACCTTGGACCTCAAGGCATATTTTAACGTAAAATTTGACTCTCTTTCAATTGCCGATGTCAAAAGTGTGGGTTCCCATTTAACAAAAGAAATTTGACCTTGAAATGACCTTGAAGGTGAGGTCCAAGGTCAAATTCAAGGTCATCACTGGATTCATCGTTGAAAGTTACATAAGACCTGACGTTAACAATTTTATTTTTACGACCAACGCTCAGATTTTCAGGGGTTTCCATACTTTTTCCGACATTGACCTCTATTTGACCTCCAGAGGTTACTTTAACCTCATACCTAGCCACGTATCCGGACGTAAAATTTCCCGCTCATTTTGATTCCGGTTTCAAAAATAGGGGTTCTCATTTGAAAAAATGAGGTTGACCTTGAAATGACCTTGAAAGTAAGGTCCAGGGTCAAATTCAAGGTCATCACTGGATTCCTCGTTGAAAGTTATATAGGACCTGACCTTAAGAATTTTATTTTTATGACCAACCCTCTGAGATTTTCAGGTGTTTCCATACTTTTTCACCACCCTGTATATAGTAATACCTGATGGAGTAATAGTAAATAAATACGCGAAAGAAAATAAAGTTTGTAAACTACATAAGGCTATATATGGATTGAAGATAAGTCCTAGGAAATGGAATCAGAGGTTCTCAACAGAAGTAGAAAAACTAGGCTTACAAAGAGATATAAATGAGCCCTGTTTATTTAAATACAGAAAGAATGGCATAATGATCTTGCTTATTCTATATGTAGATGATATACTTCTAGCTGGAAATAACTCTGATAAGATTAATGAAATCAAAAGACACTTAAGCTTAGTGTTTAAAATGAAAGAATTAAGAGAACCTAAAGAATATTTAAGTATTTAAATCACTAGAGATAGAAAAGCTAAAGAAATAATGCTGAGCCAAAGCAAATATACAGAAAAGATACTAGAGAGATTTAAAATGGATGAAAGTAAACCACAAAATACACCTATGATAACTAGACAAGTCAAAGTCAGAAATAATAAGAATATAGAGAAAGCGGAAAAACTTGGAAAACCAGAGATTCCTTATAGAGAAGCTATAGGTAGCTTAATGTATCTTGCTAATGTCACAAGACCAGACATTGCATTTGCTGTAAATTTATTAGCTAGAAAACAATCGAACCCCACTATAGAAGATTGGATCGATGTAAAAAGGATCATGAGATATCTTAGAGGAAGTTCTGATCTAGGAATAACATATAGAGGTGTTACTGAAAACTTAGAAATATTTACAGATGCAAGCTTTAGAGACAATGCAGACTCATCCTCGACAAGTGGAATGGTTGCTCGATTATTCGGAGACTCCGTTATGTGGAGAAGTCATAAATAAAGTGTAATCAACCTTTCGACCTGTCATGCGGAATATTACGCAATGAGCGAAGCTTGTCAGGAAATGATTTCATTAGATAAAGCTCTTAGAGACATGTTAGGAATAACTATGTATCCTATAATTATAAGATGCGATAATAAATCCTCAATCAGCTGTACACAAAAGGAAGGAAATCATAAATTAAAGAACTTTGATGATTCTATTGATGAAATTATTAGTAACTTAGAGAATAGAGAGAAAACAGGAATTAAAAATAAGTTATCTAAAGTACATGGAGATTATATTAAGCAGTGCGTAACTGAAAGAAAAGTTAAATTGATTTGGGTACCATCTAAAGAAAACTTAGCAGATATATTTACAAAGCCTCATCCTTTCGATTCTTTTAGAGCTCTTAGCGATCATATATTTAACCATTGAATATGCTCGAGATAATTTTTTTTTAATTATTTACATACGCGAAAACCAACGGGTCTAACTAAACTGCTCGTGATTGCGCGCATATGCACACAAGGGAGGGAGTGTTAAGCTTCTCGTGCGCATGTGCGCGCATGCATACCACGCCACCTTCGCTGAGTTCAACTGCCGCGGAAACTAGCGCGGCATTCCAACAGTGAGCGCCTTTGGTGTTAGAGCTCTTGCAATAATTAGAGGATTACTATTATCATTATTATTAGAACATCATTAGAGTATAACTATTGTAATAGACTTTTAAAATAAAATAACTTTGTATTTTCTATTTTAACCTAAAGCAGGTGTTTAATTAATTCACTTCGATCCAAAATTCCAACACAACCTTTTTTGGAAAAGAAAATTAGAGATAAGTTGGTGAAAAATTGAATTGGTCAAAGTTTTATTCGTGACCAACTTCCGTCAGAAAAATTTAGTTAATGATAACTTCATCAACAATTGGTACACTCGTTTCATTATAAGGATTTGAAAAAGTCAATCTGTCATTTATTTGGTCAAGTCTTAGTTTATTTTATTAGATGGGACGTTCGAATAAATAACTAATAAATCACTTTGATTGATTTTAACACATCATGTAAGGTAGAAATAAACGTTTATCTGCATTCTTCTAGAAAATATTTTGAGTTATTATTTTGGATTATTATAAGACTAAGTATTTCCATACTGTAACAGAATATTATTATTCAATCTGAAATTATTCCAGAATTAAAAGCCAGATCTAATACAGTAAATTTAAACCAACTGTGAACGAAGATTCTTGTTAATTTTAAGAAGAATTCAATATTTACTAGGTTTTGAATCTTTTTCTTACATTCTTAGTCAATAAATAATACAATTTTAAAATACCGTGCATTTTTGACGGGAATAATAAAAGTTTTCATTTGTTGGAAATTACAAACTGATAACAGAAGTCTTTAAGAATTTTTTGATTTCGAATTTCATCTTGAAATAGTTTTATCTCAATCGACCAACAAAAAAGTAACAGAGACCGAGTTGAAACGTACAAGACAGGAATAATACAGAACATTTAATAACGGGAGAATTAAAATCTTCCACGTTGAAATTGCTTCACCAGTTCGTTTCAAATAATATATATTTGAATATTTTTCTTTATGTTTACTTTACTCTCGAAACATTATGTATTCTGCGAACAATAAGCTCTTCATAGATATCAAATGAACATTACTAGTAACATGAAGTTCTATAAGTATTACTTCAAATTTATTTTATTACCTCCTACATTCAGCTACTTATTAAATAAACTCTAAACACTGCGTTATTTAAACATTTTCGTTAAATATAATATAACTATAAATGTACATGCAATAATATCATAAAACTTATATCTTTACAAAGTGATTTATATTACTATACCTCTTAATTAAAAAACTGTCATGGTAAAAACATCCGTTAATTGTTACAGATTATACATACTACATGCGTAAAAGTTGCAACAGAAATTTATTATTTATAGTCTATAATAATATATTAACTAGAAATACTTGACACAGTGAAAGTATTTTCTATTTCTGAAAATCAAGTAATTAACTTTTTTAACCAATTTCGTCAATGTATAAAACTTTTATATAACACGGAGAAGTTGTTGCCATAGAAACAATAATGTACACACATTCAGTCACGCACACTTATAAACACATCCCACACAGCATGAATTAATTCTGTATTAATTTTATGTCCGTTTTTTTTCCTCTAGAAATATAACGAATATTATTACTACATTAATTGACTAAAATAATTTTCAAATATTACATGCATTTTAGAAGAATTATTTTATGAAATATTAACGTAATAGTTTTGAAATTATTACAGTTAGAATATTTTGAATTGTTTCAAAATTAATGTTTAAAATTAATATTGAAGAAATAAACAGCGGACATAAAATTAATACAGAATTGATTCACTGAAATAATTTTCAAATATTACATGCATTTTAGAAGAATTATTTTATGAAATATTATCATAATAATTTTGAAATCATTACAGTAAGAATGTTTTGAATTATTTCAAAATTAATTTTCAAAATGATACTTAAGTAATAAAAAGCTGGCGTAAAATTAATACAGAATTGATTCACTAAAATAATTTTAAAAGATTATATCCATTTCACAAGAATTATTTTATAAAATACTATCTAATTACTTTTAGAATTATTATAAAAAATATTTAAAATTATATAACACAACTAGATATACTATAAATAAATTATTTACTGAATATATAAGTAAAATTTTTTAAATTATTAAAAGTACTATATTTTATATAATTATGGAAGAACACGAAATAAAATAATTGATAAACGTACAGTATTTTATTTAATGTTTACTTTAATATTATCTAGTATATGGTGTAACGGGGTTTCTTACCGTTTAATTATTTTTATTCGCGCAAGTTTATTGAAGGGCGAATGTAATCATCTATGCTTAATACATAATCCGGAGAGCATGGGGAAACAGGTGTCAGTCAACCAATAGATCTACTAATCTACGAAAATGAGTGGAAGCAATATGGAATAAGCGAGTCGAAAGCACTTGTTAATAACACGAACAGAATCTTTTATTGTCTATCAAATATTACACTGGATCGGCCCGTGAGTTTATGTTGACATCAGCGCTCGCTCATCGAGGACACACAGTGTCGGGACGCTCGCTGCTCTTTGTTAACAGAGCTATTGCATGCACGCTTCGAACACGAGAAATTAATTGTTATACATGCAACCACAATCGCGAGATTAAGCTGGCCAGCTTACCTTTGTTTTGCGGACGCTCGAAGATGACACCAATAAGTCGCACTCGGAAAAGGTCTATTGTTTGTTTGTGTCGCGAGTCGCGAACTTGAAAGCACGTGGCTTCGCCCTCGATGGCGAAATCTCACGCACGCACTAGCGTTATCACCGCGCATGGCGCCTTTGTCTGCTGGTTCAAGCCTTCGCCCTTGTGAGCTGCACGGCACCTCGGCTGCGACGATCTCTGGAACTCAGGTCTTGGTGCTCTGCGAACGGAATTCTGCTTCGATAACTCGGGAAGTGACAGCTGGTCTCGTACACACCGGCGAACTCGTTGATGGTCAAAGCTTCACTGGTTCAATTTCAATCGCGCGCGTTCCGTCTGCTCGCGTGCCGAATTCTTTCGTTACGTTTTTCGTCTCCCCGGTAGGTGCTGCCTCCGCAGGCAGCAATTAGGTTATATTATTAGCGCTAATTTGACGTTTACCGTCACAATGGATATATATTAGATATACATTATAAATATTACATAAAGCAGATTTCTTATCGAATTTTCACATTGAATTTCTTTCAATTTTAACGAATAATAATAAAAAATGGAAGTGCTTAACGCAATGCTAGAGGTTTAAATAATCCTGAATTAAAATTCCCTTAAGGAGATATGAAACGCCCCTGATAACACCTCGAAGAAATTAAGATTTGGTGCTGCTTGACCAAATTTTGAAAGAACCACTCTATAGAATTGTGTGAAATTTGAACTGAGTAATTCTTGGACATATATCTACACCCTAAAAAAGCGTTTTTATTTTTAATCTAACTTTGATTCTGCAATATTTTCAGTTCTGTAAATGCCGGTAAGGTAGGTACTTTCATGAACGTTTCATATGCTCAGTAATGCGTACAAAAGCTTTTTTATGAGATTAAAACCTATAATATTTCTTGGATTATTGGTACGTTAATTTGTAAATTAATTAGTGCATTTTTACAAAAATCATATCAAGAATTAATTCAGAAATAATTTTGAATTATTTTCTGAAATAATTCGGGTGAATCAAAATTTTGCATTTTCATTTATTCAAAAATTAATTCAGAATTAATTCAGAATCATTCCTTCCGTTAATTTCGAAATTAAAACCTATAATATTTCTTTGATTATCGGTACGTTAATTCGTAAATTAATTAGTGCATTTTTACAAAAATCATATCACGAATTAATTCAGAAATAATTTTATATTAATTTCTGAAATAATTCAGGTAAATCAAAATTTTCCATTTTAATATAATGCAAGAATTAATGTATTGTTACGTTTAAACTTAAAGACTTAGACTTTACTTTATTAATTTTAAAAAGTGTTTACAAACAGATAACCAAGTGTTAACTAACTATTCTGTGTTTTCTATCACAAACATAAACAAACAACATATACAAATTAATGTTACAGTGGATACATATTCGAATAAGAACTATTCGAAAGATGCACTCGTAACAAAATAAATAATTTATAATTATATCTTGCGTTAATTTGTAACTTTAAACCTATAATTTTTCTTGGACTAATTCAACATTAATCCGTGAATTAATGTGTATATTTGTACAAAAATCATATCACGAATTAATTCAGAAATAATTTTGAATTATTTTCTGAAATAATTCGGGTGAATCGAAATTTTGCATTTTCATATAATTTAAGAATTAATTTTAAATGAATTCAGAATCATTTGTTGCGTTAATTTCGAGATTAAAACCTATAATATTTCTTGGATTAATTCAACATTAATGAATGATTTAATTTATGTATTTTTACAAAAATCATATCACGAAATAATTTTGAAATAGTTTTAAATTATTTCAAGATATAATTTTAGTTTTATGTTGTAAATTAATCATGGTTCCTTTCAAAATCCTTTCTAAATTAATTCATGTATTAATTTGTTTATTTTTACAGGAATCATTACCTGAATTATTTTTAATAGAATTTTAGAATATTTCTTTGTAATATTTCATGTATTAATTAAGAAATAATTTTCTGTTCTTAGAAAATTATTTTTATATTAATTCTTTGCGTTAATTCAAGAATTAATTCAGTGAATTAATTCATGCTCTGTGGGATACACTCACCTAAAGAACCCAATAGACTCATTCATATTTTATTTACTTAATTATATGTTGTGAAATACTTTTATAGAAATGTCCTAAAGAAAAAATTATTTCTTATGAAATAAAAGTGAAGCGTATCACTTACTTTTATTGATCATACAAAAATGATTAATAAAAAAACTAAGAAAATGATGAATGTTTAGAAAATGTATTTATCAATTTAATCATTAAAGCTTAGCATTATTGAGTTTTTCATTGATACTGATTTAAATGAGATCGTTGAAACAGCAGCGTAAAGATTTCTTAGGATGGTCTCTTAGAACAATTAATTTAGGAAGTTTATTCTCTTCGCAACTGTCAGGTATAGCATTGCTCGCGTTAAAAGCCTCTCAAAGATGACACTTAATTATCAAAATAAGATTTAACTGCTGAGAAATTGTGAAAAAATGAAAAAAAGACTGCCAACTCATTGCCAGTTACCTATCGATTTTCAATTTCTAATTTATTTTTCATAAATATTTTTATTTAAATTATACTGTTCTTCCGATTTTTATTTCGTATAATTATTTTCATTTTATTATTGTTAATCGCCTTTTTATGCTGATTTTTATTAGTATTATTCTGTATTAGTCTTTAATCTCTTTCCAATCTTATTTCATTCTATTTCATTCCATCTAAAATATTCTAATTTTATGTCGCATAATTTTGTTTTATTGATATCTAACCATGATATGTCGTTTATTCAATTAATATTGTTCATATCATATCGCTTCATTCGTGTGTTCATTATTCTAAAATTTCGTTTCAGTCAAAAGTTATGGTAGTTGTCGTTGAGGGATTCTATATCATTTTACAAACAGAAAAAATTATTTTTTAATTTGCGATAGCATAGGCTAGATATAATCAAATTGTTTGTGCAACGCTTCATTTTTAAGCTATTAAAAGCTTTAAAATAAAAGTTTGTATAATAAAAAAGTGAACTTGAGTCAAAAGTTATGGCTGTTTATTTAAAGAAACCTAGATTAAGTATGTAGTACTTAATGTAAAATTAAACAACAAATGGACAAGAGTTTCAAGATTTATGTGCGAACTTCACATGTTGAAATAGATACAGCAACTGCATCTAATAGTCCGGCATATAAACCTATTGAAACAGTATTTGACATAATAGACAAAATAGTCGAAACAAATAACATCAAGGCTTTAAACAGGATAGAAAAACCAGTACCAGATATGCCGATTACACAAATTAATCATATCAGAATGACGTATGAGGATATAAATTATATTGGCAATAACCAAGCAATACTTTATTTTCATAGAGAAAGATAGACAAATTTTTACCAATTCTGTATATTCACTAAAATTACAACCTAAATATAAAGACATTGTAATTGTAGATGAAATTATTTTTAAATCTTTCTGCAAATGCGACTCAATTTTTCAATATCGAGATAACAGCTGTCCTGCAAGATTAAGGAGGTTCAGGACCATTAGCAAAATGCACAGATCGTGACAAAATTAAAAACTATGATAAATTAGATTATTTGGAATGTCCCTGAATTTTTTCAATATTTATTACCAGCCAAATTGCAATGAAAATAAATCATGAAGTTCACCTCTTATACACAAGCTCTTATGGGAGAGATCAATCAACAGTTATTCATACCGAATTTAAGCACAGAAAAATGCA